TTTTGTAATTTTGTACAAGCTAATTACTAAAGAGGGAGATATTGATGATGTGGCCTGTTGTTTTTGTTGTTGCATAAGTTAATTCATTCTGAGTAAGAATTTATGAAAAGTCTAATTTAGGCAACATGTTTCATCTTGCATTAAAATCACTGCTTTTGATTGTTGAACTTAACAGTTCTTTTAGATGATCAATACTGTCCAAAATAATTTCAATGTATTTTCCACCCAACTGTTGTTGAATATTTGTTCAAAATCAATGGAATGATAATTGACTAATTGTGGACTCAATTGTGGAATTGGTAGAATTAAAAGAAATTGAAAAATGAAAATTTTGATTTTTGCCTGTGCGTACTTTTGTGCATACGCGAGATATGATTTTTCAAAATCAGAATCAATTTTGCTTCTACTATGCGTACGCATAGTGTTAAAAAATAGCTGTTGGCTGATTTTTCAATTTGAAACTTGGGAGCCGATTTGGATTAAAAGTTGCCACTTTTCATCTTGTTTTGGCACCATTCATGATGTATTGATTGAGGCCTATAAATAGGTGATGAATGATCAATACAAACAAGAAATACATACATTGTTCCACAATTAATCAAATCCATGCTATAACTTATATTCATTTCTTCCTTATTGTGTTCANATTTTGTTGTTGTTTCTTCTCCAACCCCTTATTTTCCAACAATCTCAAACTATATTTTGCGATGGAGAATGATACAACTATGGCAACTATTAAACTCATGAATCAAGATCTGGTTAGATTGGATTGTTTTGACGGGACTAACTTCACGCGATGGTAAGACAAGTTGAAGTTCTTCTTAACGGCGTTGAAGATTTTTTATATTCTTGATCCAAATTTGGTGCCTTTGCCGGAACCAACAAATGGAGAATCCGAAGCAATCAAAATTGAGAGACAAAAATGCCAAGAAGATGAATTGATTTGCCGTGGCCACATCTTGAATGCATTGTCGGATCGTTTGTATAATCTATACACCAATACAACTTCGACGAAAGAAATCTGGGAAGCATTGGAAAGTAAGTACAAGGTAGAAGAAGAAGGTACAAAATTTTTTTTGATTTCTAAGTATTTTGATTTTAAATTCTTAGAAAATATCCCTCTTCTTCCCCAAGTGCATGAGTTGCAAGTGATTGTCAACAAATTAAAGGCGGTACAAATTGATATACCGGAGACCTTTCAAGTGGGGGCTATAATTGCCAAACTTCACGAAACTTGGAAATGATATTGGCAGAAGATCATGCATAGTTCCGAAGATTATTCTTTGGAACAATTGCAAAAGCATCTTCGAATCGAAGAGGAGTCGAGAATACATGATAAAACTGAAAATTTTCATGAGGGCTCTTCTAAAGCAAATGCTGTGAAAAAATAGAACCGTCGGCAAAATCCAACAAAAGGAAGCCTTTTAGGAACTTTAACAAGTCCAAGAAGAAGACAAAAGGAGGTTGCTTTTTGTGTGGAAAATCTAGTCACTATTCCAAGGATTGTAGGCACCGAAAACAAAACAACTTCGAGGCTAAAGTGAATTCCATCCAAGATGACAAAATTGCGGCCACCATAAGTGAAGTAAACGCAATCAAATGAAGTGTTTCTGAGTGGTGGTATGATACTTTTGCTACGGTACATGTATCATATGATAAATCTTTGATCAAAACTTATCAAGAAGTAGATGGAGAACAAGAGATTCAAATGGGTAACGAGATGCGGTCTAAAGTGTTTGGAAAAGGAAGTATATACATTATCTTCACTTCTGGGAAAACTGTTTACTCTAACTAATGTACTACATGTTCCGGATATGAATAGGAACCTAGTTAGTGGCAATCTCTTGGGAAAATCAGACATCAAATGTGTTTATGAGTCCAGCAAACTTCTACTATCCCTTAATGGGAAATTTGTTGGAAAGGCTATTCGTGTGAAAGAATGGTCAAATTATGTACCATTGACAATGAAATGAATAAAAGTAACTTTGCTTATGTTGTGAATTTATTTTCATTACGGCGTGCTAGACTAGGTCATGTTGGTAGAAATACAATGAAATGCATGAAAAAATATGACTTGATCTCATATGATGAAAATGATGAACATAAATGCAAAATATGTGTAGAATCTAAAATGATTAAAAAATTATATCAAAGTGATAAGAGAACTTCTAGTATTTTAGAATTAATTCATACTGATATATGTGAACTTAATGTTATGTTAACTAGAGGTGGAAATAAATATTTCATAACTTTTATAGATGACTTTTCTAGATATACTTACGTTTATTTGACAAAACATAAAAGTGAAGCCTTTGACATGTTTAAGACATACAAGAATGGGGTTGAAAATTATCTAGGAAAGAAAATTAAAATTTTAAGGAGTGATAGAGGTGGTGAATACTTTTTCAATGATTTTAATTTGTTTTGTGAACAACATGGAATTATTCATCAATGTTCTGCACCTAGGACACCCGAACAAAATGGCTTGGCTAAAAGAAAGAATAAAACATTTGTAGAAATGATAAATACCATGTTTGTTCATGCTAAGTTGCTATTTAACTTGTGGGGTGAAGTTTTATTAAGTGCATGTAGAATACTTAATAGGATTCCTTCAAAACATACTAAGGTTTCTCCTTATGAATTGTGAAAATGAAGAAAACTAAACATTGAATATTTCAAAGTGTGGGGGTGTCTTGCCTATTGCAAGAACACGAATCCTAATAGGACTAAATTGGGTCCAAGAGGCATTAAATGTGCCTTTGTTGGATATACAAACAATAGCAAATCTTATAGATTACTAAATTTGGAGTCCAATGTGATTATCGAATCCAACGATGTGGAGTTCTTTGAGGATTCGTTATCTTCGGATAATAAATTGAGGGAAAAGCTTGAAAATATCCCTAGCTCAAGTGGAACACATGATGAAATATCTTCTAAAGATGTTGATGAGTCTAGTGAACCATGAAGAAGCAAGAGAACTCGAGTTGAGAAGTCTTTGGGACCAGATGAAATTGATTCTCAACTTATCTCCTTTTACTTAGTAGAGAGAAATGAGTTGAATGTTGTAAGAACAATTCCTTTTGTTCTACAAATTGAAACCGACCCTAAGACTTTTAAAGAAGCTATGGCTTCTCGTGATAGCACCTTTTGGAAAGATGCAATTAAGGACTAAATGGATTTGATAATGTCCAATAATACTTGGGAACTTGTTGATTTACCACCGGGATCCAAGCATATTGGATGCAAATGGGTATTTAGGAAAAAATACAATGTTGATGGATCTTTAAATACCTTCAAGGCTAGATTAGTAACCAAAGGATATCGACAAAAGGAAGGAATCGACTATTTTGATACTTATGCATCGGTAGCTAGAATAACATCGATTAGGATATTTATTTGCTTTGGCTTCAATTTATAACTTGCATGTTCATCAAATGGGTGTCAAGACGGCATTCATAAATGGAGATCTCGATGATGAGGTCCATATGGAACAACGTGAAGGGTTCGCCCTACCTGGAAATGAACATAAAGTGTGCAAGTTGGTGAAATCTTTATATGGTCTAAAGCAAACACCAAAGAAATGGCATGAGAAGTTTGACTTAGCAATAATATCATTCGGGTTTAAACATAATAGCGTTGATAAATGTTTATATTCTAAAATTTGTGATGATTATGTGACATTTATATGCTTGTATGTTGACGACATACTGATTATGAGTAATCACATGGACAGAATAGAAGAAACAAAGAGGTTTCTTTCTTCCACATTCAAGATGAAGGATCTTGGACAAGTGGATACCATTTTAGGTATCAAAGTCACTAAGACTAGCGGGGGTTACTATCTAAGTCAATCACATTGTATTGAGAATGTGATAAATAAGTTTAAACATTTGAACATAAAAGAATGTAGTAGCCCAATTGATTCAAGTTCAAAATTAGTAAAGAATATGCAAGTGCTATAGGGAGTCTTATGTATGCTATTCAATGCACAAGACCGGATATAGCTTATGCAATAAGTAAACTTAGTAGGTTTACTAGCAATCCGAGTAATGATCATTGGAAGGCTATTGTGAGAGTTCTTGGATACTTAAAGAAAATCAAGAACTTGGGCCTACAATATACTAAATTCCCAACGATATTGGAAGGATTTACCGATGCTAGTTGGATATCTAGCACGGGTGAAAGTTAATCCACTTTGGGTTGGATATTCACTCTTGGAGGAGGTGCTATTTCTTGGAAATCCAAGAAACAAACATGTATAACACACTCGACCATGGAATCTGAATTTGTAGCTTTATCGGATACCGAAAAAGAGGCTGAGTGGCTTAAGGATCTCTTATATGAGATATCTTTGGGATCGAAGAATATCTCTTAAATACCTATCATGTGTGATAGTCAAGCCACATTAGCAAAGGCATATAACGAGGTATACAATGGAAAGTCAAGACATATGAGTCTGACACATGGCTACATAAGGAAATTAATCAAAGATGGAATAATTTCTCTAAATTATGTAAGGTCAATTGAGAATTTAACGGATCCTTTAACTAAAGTACAAAATAGAGATTTAGTGGCGTCTACTTCTTCACGTGTGAGTAAAGACTTGAAGAATTCAAGGCCTTGGTTAACATGTCTGCCACTTGAGAACCAGTGTGAATATACTGAGTAGTAATGCTCCCATTTTGTATCTTATCTCGAATAAGATGAAAATCGATCTCTATGTACTTGGTTTTTTCATGAAAAACGGGAATTGTGGCAATATAAATGGCAGAATTGTTATCACTGTATAACTTTGCTGCTTGGGTATGTTCAATCTGTAGATCCCTACATAGAAATCTCATCCATGTTAGCTCACAACTCACTTGTGCCATTGCTCTATATTCAGCTTCAGAGGATGATCTTGAAACCACATTTTACTTCTTTGACTTCCATGATACTAGTGATGATCCTATGAAAACACAATAACCTGTCACAGATCTTCTAGTATCTGGACAGGCTCCCTAATCTGAATCTGAATAACCCTTCAGCTGTAGATCAGATATAGAGGGATAAAATAGGCCTTGACCTAGTTCCCTTTTAAGATATCTTAAGACCTTGTGTGCTGCATAAAGATGTGGCAATTTGGGCTTGTCCATGTATTGACTCAATAGTTGAATTGAGTACGATAAATCTGGTCTTGTTATAGTTAGGTACAACAACCGCCCTATCAAGCTCCTGTAGATAGAAGGATCAGCAAGTAAATCCCTTTTATCCTTGGCTAACTTAACATTTTGATCAAGAGGTATTTTAGATGGTGCTGAGCCTATGGTCCCTGAATCTCCTAAAATGTCCAGAGCATATTTTCTTTGACATATGTATATCCCACGTTTTGCTCTCACAACCTTGATTCCTAGAAAATACTTCAGCTTTCCTAGATCCTTGATTTTGAATTTTGCATCCAAAGCAGCTTGAGATTGTTGATGGTATCCATACAATTTCCTGCTAAGATAACATCATCAACATGTACTAGAATAGCCCTGAATGAGTCTTGAGTACTCTTCATAAATAAGCTATAATCCGCCCTTGATTAAATGAAACCATGCTGAATAATGAAACTGGACAACTTTGAATACCACTGCCATGAGGCATGCTTAAGTCCATATATACTTTTGCAAAGTGTGCTTACTTTTGGACTCCCATCAATAATATAACCTAGGGGTAATTGCATATATACTTCCTCATCCAAATCACCATGTAAAATGCATTATTAACATCCAATTGATATAAGAACCAGGCTTTTATGGCTGCAAGGGCAAGTAAACTTCGAACAGTGACACCGGAGAAAATGTTTCATGATAATCTAGACATTCTTGTTGTGTGTACCCCTTTGCAACCAGCCTACCTTCTACCTTTCGATACCTCCATCAGCATTAAACTTGATTTTATATACCATTTTACACCCTATTGCTTCTTTGTCAGGTGGCAAATCAACAATGAGTCATGTATCATTTAATTCAAGTGCCTTAATCTTAGCTTTCATGGCTTCACACCATTCAGGATATTTTACAACTTCTTGATAGTTATTAGGTTCAGTTTGTGAAGTTATGGAAGTAACAAAAGCTTTATGAGGAATGGACAACTTATCATATGACATGCTAGCACTAAGGGGATAAGGAGTACCTGAATGAATTGAACCCTCTGCCTTGTCCAAGTTCTGCAATGGAATGAATGAAGTGGCCTGTTGACATATGAAGTCCTACAGATGCAAGGGAGCTCTCCTGATTCTGGTAGATTTTCTTGGTAAGTGAGGAGTGTTTTGATCTGTCTCTATATTTGCAGTATGTAAATCCGTTTGCTACATGGTTTGGTCAGTTCGAGGATCTGTTAGATCAATGTGTTCAATGTCTTCTATAGGACTAGAAACATGCGAAGGTTTGTTATTTGGTTCGGTGAATTATGGAGATGTGCAATTGTTTGGAATAGAGACAAGAGGATTCTGAGGATAGCACAAATCAGTGGGACTTGGCACATCATTGATTTTTGTAGCCTCTTTGAAAGGAAACAAAGTTTCATGAAAAACTACATTTCTAGATGAGAAAACTTTCTTGGTTTCCAGGTCAAGAAGTTTGTATCCTTTGATTCCAAAAGGATATCCTATAAAGACACATTTCCTAGCTCTAGAATCAAATTTATGTCTACCCTGTAAGAGAGTTGTAGCAAAGGCAAGACAACCGAACACCTTTAGATGGGAATATGTTGGTTTTCTTTGGAACAAAAGTTCAAATGGACTTTTGTGATCTAGAAGGGTTGAAGGGGTTCTATTAATAAGATACACTGCAGTTAGGACACAATCATTCCAATATTTTAATGAAATGCCACTTTGGAACCTTAGAGCCCTTGCAACATTCAAAATGTGTTGATGTTTCCTCTCAACTATGGCATTTTGTTGAAGGGTTTCAACACATGTTTTTTGATGTATTATTCTCTTTTCAAGGTAAACTTTCTTCGTATCAAATTCTCCCCCATTATCTGTTCGAATAACTTTTATCTTAGTTTCAAACTGTGTTTCAATCATAGTACAAAAGCTTTGTAACATATTTGAAGCATCATATTTTAATTTCAGCATGTATACCCAGGTGCATAGACTGAAATCATCCACAATTATTGGGAAATAATGAGATCCATCATAACTAATTTCATTGCAAGGTCCCCAATGATCACAATGCATTAAATAAAAAAAAAATTCTGATTTGTGTTGACTAACAGGAAAAGGGGGCTTGTGTATTTTAGCTAAAGGATAGACACAACATGGCTTGGAATCATCAAGTTCAGGGACCTCATCTTCGAGAGAGAAAACTGAATGTGATGGATGTCCTAATCTATAGTGCCAGATGTCAAAAATTTCAGATGGTTTGATCACAGAAGCTGAAATGGAAAGAGTTGTAGCCACGTGAGTCAATGTTTGTTGAAGAGCTACAGTAGAGACTGTTGTTTGCATGATATGATAGAGACTAGACCTCAATTTACCCATTCCAATTGTTGTCCAAGTCAAAAGGTCTTGTATTTAGCAGCAATTAGAGATGAAAACAACACAGCAATTCAATTCTTGAGTAAGTTTTCTAATAGATATTAAATTGAAAGAGAAAGAAGGGACACAAAGCATATCTTTGAGGACCAAGGATTTTGTGACTTGAACTATGCCAATCTGAGTCACAGGCATAGTGTCTCCATTTGGTAAAGCTACAGAGCAAGCTACCTATGATTTGACAGATGAAAAGTATGATGGTGAACAGACCATATGATCTGTTGCACCAGTATCCAAAATCCAAGGAACGCTGCAATTATTTTTTGATTTAGTTTTAATGGTTAACAAGCAATATGATATACCAGAAAGCTTTGGGATAGCATTTTCTGAGGTTGAAGTAATAGCACTTTGGTCTTGATTTGTTGAAGGTATGAATGGCTAACTACTTGATGGTTTGAGAATAGCCATGAGCTGAGAATACTGCTCCTAAGTTAAAGATAATTGACCTTTGTTACTTTGTTCTTGATTTAGAGGCATAAGGGCAGAAGCTAGGTTTGCAGTTGATCTATATATGTTCTTTCCTTCATGATTGTGGCCTAGTGGATACTTGTGCAATTTGAAGCATTTGTCTGCTTTATGACCAGGCATTTGGCAATGGGAACACACAGGTCTATTTGGATTGGCCTTGAAGCATCTCTCAAGGGAATGCCCTGCAATTTTATAGTGTGTACAGTAATAATCATTCTTCTTTTGTAACGAAGGATTCAGCCTCCCACTTTCTTTCAAATTTCCTCTAGTAATAAAACATAAGGCCTCACTGACAGGGCCTTCTATAGATATCTGTCACCTCTTCTCCTCTTGTTGTATGGTTGCATAAACTTCATTTAAGGTAGGAAAAGACTTCATTAACAGAATTTGGGCCTTAAGATCCTTGTATGATTGGGGATAGATTCATAGTTCAATAACTCATCTAGAAAAGTTTTGAACTTAGAAAATTAAACACTTACATCATTCTAATTTTGAACCAGAACTATGATGGCTTGCTTGATTTCATAGATCCTAGGTGCATTTTGTTGTGCAAATTGTTGTTCCAGTTCCAGCCACAACTAATATGTCGTCTCAGCATACACAGTACTGCATTTGATGTCCACTATATGGTGTTTTGCAGCCATGTAATCACTATGTCATTGCATCTAAGCCAGTGCTCCATCAAAGGATCATTTGGGTCATTTGGTCCACAAAGACTTCCATCTATGAATCCCAATTTGTTCTTGATTCTAAGGGCTCATTTTATGGATCTGGCCCAAGAGTGATAGTTGTTTGCCTCCAACATGTGTGAAATTAATACAGTTCCTGTACCATCATTGCTGCTAATGAAATAAGGACTGCTTGGGTGTGTTGGATCATAAGTTTTTGAATTGGATTCAGTATTAGAATTGGTGTCTAGATTTTGATTTGTATTTGGAGAAGCATTCGAGATTTCAACATTTGATTCAGCCATTGCTGGCTCTGATACCATATAGGAAATGAGAAGAAAATGAGAACAAATAAGAAGATGTTTGCAGAATAATTTCTGTGTATTTTCTTGCTTATTTTCTGAAGAGTCTTGCAATGTATATATATACAACTTTACAATGCTGTATAAGAGAAAGAAAAAAAAAGAAATTGTTACAATCAGAAAACAGAAACGGTGGCAAAGGCATGTGCATAACAGAATGGTGGTAATCCAAAGCTTCTAGACTTCTTTACTTCTAGACTCTTCTCTCCTTGTTGGATCTCTATTGGATGTTGATATCATTTGAGCTCGTGACTGTATGGACAGATCACTTGCCAGCTGTCTATGTTGTTCTTCACCATTTAATAAGATGCTTATACCATCATTAAACTATTTGTGTTCTTTTCAAAAATAAAACTATGTACTTATGTATTAGTGTAGTATGAAGTAAAATCTTTTAGTCCTTTCATTTTTATTTGAAGTTCAGAGGATGAGAGAGCTTTAAAAAGAATTACTGAATTACGAGGCGAAAATTGAAAGAAAAGATCTCCCCATTTACTTGAGAACAATTTAGATTAAATTTGTACTCTTAAAACTTGAACTTGAAAAATAACCTTGGAAAACCTTAAACTTTAAACTATTTAAAAATGAGACAAATAATTGTTCAACCTAATTTTGCATGGATTCACAATAAAATTAATTGTTGATTTGGACTTAAAATTTAACAACTTTAGTTCAAACCAAACAAGGGCTTAATAGTATTATCTAAGTTTTTATAATTATTTAAAAATGATTTATTTATTTTTATCAAATCGATCCCGATTCAACCAGATAGTGTTTACCCTTTTCACCTTTTCGAATTGATGTCGGGTTCGATTTCTAAAACATTGGAATATAGGGAGTTAAATGTTTCATTAGCCACCGAACTTTACACCTCGTCATGGTTTAGCCACTGAACTTAACGAAGCTTCCTAATGGCCACTGAACTTAACTCTGTTGTATAAATTGACCACTGGATGGATTTCGTCTATGGTTGGTTCTACGTGGAGGATGGAAAAGTGACGTGGCAGTTAAAATTCTCCACATGGATGCCAAATCAGCAAACAAAATTTTACACTTGTGAAATTAAAAAATACTTTTGCAAATTAACTCCAAAATCCCTCTCCTACTCCCATCCCCACGCTTTCCCCATCCCCAAAACCCAAAACCAAATCCACAGCTACCTTATCGGCATCGATGCGGTTATGTTTTATTCTAAACCCTTTTACGCAAATTCTGTTTTATGTGTTCTACTTTTCCTACAGAAAAACACTTTCTATCTCCACTAACCCTTTTACACAAACACCAATAAATAACAAATAATTATAGGGGGAGAGGGGGAAGAGGGAGGAGCAGAGAGGAAAATCATGACTCTTAATGATAGATTCTGCATTCTATCTCCTTCAATTGCTCCAAAATGAAAGACCACTTAACTGTAATTTTTTGCTTTTCCTAATCAGTTAATTTTAGTTATGATTTTGGTTGATTATTTAAATGTTGGAGATTTTTATTTTTATAAACCCTGCTCTTTTCATTTTTTAGGGTCAGGAAGAACATAAATAGGTGGGGAAGGCTGCTGCTGTCGTCGACGACGGCGAGGTGGCCGTGGAAGAAGGTGGCGAGTTACCTGTGGATTTGGTTTCTGGTTTGGCATGGGGACGGGGGTGGTTTTGGAGTTAATTTACAAAAGCATTTTTGAATTTCATATGGGTAAGACTTTGTTTGGCTATTTGGCATCCAAGCAAACAAATTTGTTAACATGTGGAGAATTTTAATTGCCACGTCACTTTTCATCCTCCACATAGGCACAACCACATACGGAATCCATCCGGTGGTCAATTTAGTGCAACAGAGTTAAGTTCAATGGCCATTAGGAAGTTTCATTAAGTTCAGT